ACGATCGATAGTGCCTGCTTTTTATTTTCCGGACTTTCGATGCAAACATCATAGGAGTCGGACACACAGGTAGGGCGTGCGCACACATGTAGCCTATCGATCTCTTCATCGAAGGCTGTTTAATCATATCAAAGTATAGTTAATTTCTCCAGGTCCGTTCGCGATCGACTTTCCCACGCCAGCAGTCGCGCCAAACCTCCAGAGAATGAAATATGAATAAAGGAGGGATAAAAGTAAGGGGGGATAAAGAGGAGGAGGAAGATTGGAAAGGAGAAAGGAGCGAAGGGGGCGGGCGGAGGAAGAGGGGGGGGGAAGAAGAAAACGGGGGGGGTGAGAGAAGAGAGAGAGAGAGAGAAAAAAACCAACAGAGAACACGTATTACCTAGAGACGAGTAATCTCGAATAGAAATACCGCAAACCAACACAGATAGAGAGAAACACAAAAACACAAAACAAACAAAAAAAAAAAAAAAATATATAGTATATATATATATTTAAAACGCTATCTACACTATCAAATACAATAACACACACACAATAGTATTATACATATATATATATATATATATATATATATATAATAACACAAACACACATTATATATATAACTAAACAGAACAATTTTTAATCTAAAAAAAAAAAACACAAAAACTTTTTAAAAAATTACAAATACCTAATTAAAAAAAAAAAAATCGCCAAAAAAACAAACATCACAACTTATAACATATAAAATATATATAATAAGTCTTGGTATCTATGTGACCTCTGTGCAGAAGCTCACTCCACTATGGCTAGATTATATTTCGACACATGATTATCCGTGAAGACCTTCAGCCACTACCATGTTTGTATACGCGGTGTATATCGGAGCCACGCTACCTCTGAGTGCTCATGCAAAACCACGTGTAAAGTATGCATATATCGATAATCAGCTGTTGGTCTCTGTGTTGGTAGCATCATTTCCGAGCTAGCACACACCATACACACACTAATTTCAGCGATTTCTTGGATTGAGGACGAAAATGGATGTGTTCTCTGTATCTTTTAGAGAAATAAACGAGAAAGATTGGCTTATTTTAATGACAAGTAGAGTGGATCTGTTAGGTATGATATGAATGTAAAAAAACGACAGAGATAGCCAATATAGGAAGAAAAAATTATGTAAATCGAAATGAAGAAGTTAAAGCAATTACGTGAGTGAGACCACAGTAGATAAACGACAGAAAAAATTTTAAAATCTATTCATTGATAATAGAGAAATTGGTACAGTTTATCTAATTATGTATATTTGTTTTGTATTGAATTGTTAAGTTGGTATGAGTTAGATGATATGAATTTGTATAAAAAAATACAGTCAAGAGTAATAAAAGGATAAAATAAAAGTAATTATATGATTAAGTAAATATATACCTAAATGTAATAATAAATCATATGATAAATTATAGATTCAGTAAATTAAAATTGTTTTTAATATATTGTATGAGATGTTAGATATATAATGTATAAAAAAACGACAGAGTATTAAAAGGAAAAAAGTATTAATATGATGAATAGGTAAAATACGATAATACGATTAAACAAATTAATCCATATGTAATAATAGATTATCAGATAAGATTGGTTTTATGATTGTAGTGATGGTTAGATATATTGGATAGATTATTAAAAACAACCAGTAGATAAATAGGGAAATAATGAAGAAGTATTAATTAATTAGATACGAGTAAAACGCATACATTGACAACAACAATCACAACACTCACAACACACAGTCGATATTATATCTGAATAAGTATTATGGATATTTATGATAATTATAGTGGTTAGATGATAATGAATGTAAAACAGACGGTAGCAAAAAGGAAAAAAGTTTAATTAAATAGTTAGTATAAAGTAAACATAACGATAATGATAATATATATAACTATAACAATAATAACTACATTTGATAATGAAAATTAATAAAATGTAATAGATTCAACTATATATTATGATCAATAATAATAACTAAATAATATAACATAAATGTAATTATAATATTGATCTAGATAAATAATTATAAATTGAATACTCAATACAAGGTGGCAAACAACACACAAGCTAGCGAGAACGAAGAAGAAGGACCAACGGAAAGAAAGAAAAGAGAGAAGAGAATGAGAAATAGCTAACGGAAAAGAGAAAAGAACAACACCACAAATAAAATGGAAAACACACACAAAAAAAAACGGAAACTAAGAAAAAAAAAAATTATAATTTATGATCACAAAACAGTAAACCTGATAGGAAAAAACAAATTATAAAATCTATAAATCAGCAAAAAAAAAAAACTAAGAGACACAGGCAGAGCAGAACACGATAACCTTACAAATATCTCTAACTCACAATACACCACAACATCACACAACACACACACAAAAAAAACACAAAAACACCAATATCTATACACAAACTACTGCAGCTCACACTCAACAACCAAACAAACACAACCACAAACAATATAAAAAAAAAAATCTACAAATCTGTAAATCACACAAGATATAAAAAACAGAAAAACTAAAAAAAAAAAATCTACAAATCTATAAATCACACAAAAAACCAAAAAAAACAAAAAAAAATTTAACAAATTCCAGAAAAAAAAACGAAAAAACCTATACACGCTTAGCACCATCCCTTAGTAGATAGCAGAAGCTCCTCCGAAGACACGTGTATGACCTTGTGCAACCGGTGGATATATATTAGGTCTCTTCCATTAGCGGCCAAATTTTCCGCTCCTATTGTTAAATTTATATACACACAACACCACATTAGCAGGGGGAAGAATTATAAAAAAAACGTGGCTTTATTCTTAAAGAAAAACTTCGCTCGCGAGGAGCAACCTTTTTCGTTATAACACTGCACTATTAAGTAAGACAATGCGAGTGAGCGAGCTATATTTTAGTATTCTTAAATAACGATAATTTAGTCTCCACTCTAATATACAGATAATAAACAGGTATGATGGAGTATTTATTTTCAGAAAGAATTATAAGAATAGTAAGAATTCGTCCTCAATTTTCCTAATAAACATAATAGAATATAAATGTGATCAGTATATATAAGGGTTTAATAGCACACATCTCACTTCCACAAACACAATTTCAGACACCAGAAACTACATGTCACAAACACACACATACTACTTATCATAAACAAATAGCAAAAGCAAGTGCACAGTTTATTCTTCACAATATAATATTTTTGTCTTACGGCGACACAACTACTGAAACCACACACACAACAAAGAAAGAAAAAAAGGAGATTAGATTGTATTTTTATAGACATTTAAAACGAGCACACACTACTACACTAATTATTTATTCTTTTCAACAAACAATTATATAATAAAAACATACACCTATAACTTATTCTTACTTCTATATCTTGCCTTAATTCATTATCCAATTATAGAATAACATTGACTCTCTTATATATATAACCTTTAATTCCTTACAAACAAATCTATAAAATATAAAACTAATTTGATTAATTAATATTTTTGTGTGTTTCAGCGTGCGAGTCGTAGTCTAAGTGTGTTACAGAATAGTGCTAAATCGTGTAAAATATATAAAACAAGCTAACACACACTACCCAGCGAGCGACTAGTCAAATTCTTCAAACAACAAAGTCGTACAACTCAACACAAACAACAATTTTTTCAATTGCCATCCACACACACCACACACCTTCTAACTTCCATAACACGACCCATCAAAATACACACATCCTTATCACCATTACATCACCACGCACACACACTATACTTATTATTCACTCTCACCTCTACTTTTTACCATTATACACAAGCAAACGAAACTAACTTAAATAGAAAAAAAACATACACCTTTAATTATTACTAGGTACATACTCACACTCTAACATATTTTACAATTCAAATGCAAAGTAATCTATTAAAAATATACGTTTGTTCATATAATTAATAATATACAGTAGAATAAATTCAAACAACTAATATACTATATTCAATTACTAATTTCACTCAAATAAATGAACTTAAAACCTATTCAAAAATATATATCTAAAAAATGAAAAACAAAAGACAACTTTACATTCCGAAGCACATAGAATAATAATATACAGAATAAATACAGTAATGAATATAATACAGATATAAAGTATTACCTAAAAATGATCTAAATAAAATCACACAAGTATCAAACCCGGAGCATGGTAATATTAAACAGCAATAATCAAGTATATAATAAATAATGAATTTTATAAAAATAACAAAAATGATCTAAAAATCAAAACAAAAGAAAATCAATCATACGAGCATGAATATACTCGATAATCTAAGCTATATATAATTAATGGAATTAATAAATACAAGAAATATATATAAAAATAAAAAAAAAAGACATAAACACCATTAAAGGAGCATGAAATAATATATAACAGATAATTGAAGAAATTATATACATGCCTGACCATCGAATTAAAGATAACAAAAATATCTAAAAAATAAAAACAACACAGAACACACTTACATCCTCCAAACACTTCCGGAGCATGACCTCACAAAGTCCGCTCAGTCAAAGCTGCATCCAGCACGAGAGCACCATCTCAAAATACCTTACCCAATCACGCATTTTCCACCACGTATCACAACGCGTCGAAACTGATCTAGGTCCCCACACATAGCCTCGCCAATGTCGCCAAGGTGCGGAGCGGTGCGGTAACAAGAGCGTAAGGAAGCGTCAATATTTTAAAACTAGAGTGAGCTGGAGACATAGAGATCGCATGAAGAGCGAGAAAGAAGTCTGAGAGATTGATAGCATAGAAGAGAGAGAGAGAGAAGAGAGAGAGAAGAGAGAGAGAGAGAGAGCGAGAGAGAAACCAGAGACAGAACGTAATATAATATCTTCACCACGTTTTTCAAGAAATTACAGTATATATCTCTCTTAGTAAATGAGACATATTATGTACAATGCTAGACTTCTTTAAATAATCTAGATTGATTAGTTTTTTTATAACAGTGTCATTTTTGTGTTATTGATTTTTTTAGTCTATAATCTTTTGTTGGTAGTATAGTGAAAACGATTAGAATTGTAAATAATTAGGGCAGAACATGTACAAAGTAATAGAGTTATGTGGGCCTGATGGATCACTAAATAAAGAATATACAAGGGCATCACATAATATCGCCATCACAGTGATAACTTTTCCTTTTCTATTATTATATTAATAAATATATCTTAAATGACAGAGAAAAAGAGTTTATGTAATATAATTCTATCACATAGCAACATACTAACAAGTGAATAAGAGTTAAAGATGCTACCATAGGTAGAATAATAAGATTTAGGCCAAACAAAGTCTAAATAATCATAAAAATATCGCAGTTTTCATTTATACTTTAACTAAGAAATGAGTACGAGGTGCGAGAAAAAAATATGTGATGGGAGATATATTATCAAATTTCTTCACAATAGAAAATAGATTATGGATAATGTAATCGACGGGAAGATAATCACGTCACACACTCAGGTCGGCTGGACGGCTTTGCTGAAACACAAGTATAGAGGAACGAGAAAGTAGATGCCATAGGTACAATCCTATAACGTGGAAAGAAAAATGAATTGAAAGGAGGAAACAATAGGGATCAAGATACGAAGTAAGACTTGCTAAGAATAGATATGTAGACAATATATAAGGTAAAAAGAAAAATATATTGAAGGAAATAGATAAGAGGTACAGATATAAGAATACGAGAAAAGTAGATTAAAGTAAATATACGATAGAAAGAAACTTAGAAGAAATAAATAAAAGTGAAGAATAAGTGAATAGAAAATTGATGAGATAAAGAATATATAAATTCATACAGTAAAAAAAATGAAAAAATATTATAATGTAAAACAAAAACAAAGAAAATAAAAATATAAATATTTTTTTTAAAGTAAATGGAATGTACAAGTAATGAGAATGTACACACTCTAAATCAAGAACTGAGCGCAATCAATTACCGATACACCTAGTAACACAGACACTAATTTTGAAACACTACAAGCTTGTAGCTGACATCTTATAGTTCATCTTTTTCCTTCAGAGGTTATAGCTAATCTCTATTTACAAGTTTTATTTATTTATTATCATTATTATTCACACTTATCTTATCTAGTTCTTTATTCTCTTGTTATTCATCGGAAGTGAAATAGAGGAAAATATAGTAGCCACCACAATCTACTAAACACATCGCAGGAAACAAAGATTAAAGAATAATCTTTAATATCTAGTTAAGATAGCCATGATAAACACAAAAAGTAAGAAAGACAAATGAAACATAACTTTATCCCAACTAATTATTCTAACTAAGCTCCCCACCAGAACAAAAGCTTGTATCAAATCAGTCCTTGTATCGTACGAATTTTTGAAACTATTGAATCTAACGGTTAACTAAAAATCCACAGTGCAAACAGATTACACAAAATAAATCAGGAAACTCCTATTCATGTATACTAAAGTAACGACGCACATGCACAGCAAGAAGAACGGTACACCCACTTTAAATCAACACACATTTGTGTGATTTGTATGTTTATTTGTCTAATATTAGATTAATCGTTAATTTTTTCATATCGAGCCAAAGGAACTTATTTATTTTTGTTTAATATCAGATTAACGATTAATTTTCATCACTACGACAGACAGGACATCACTATAGTTTTTGTTTAGAGAGTATCAGAATTACACCGAGTATCTAATTGTGTCCAATCCGACAAAGGAAACTCACATTGTAGTTTGTTAATATCAGTAATGTAACGATTAATTTTCAATATCCGACAAAGGAACTAACACGTCCCGTGACAAGAGGCACAGGAGGGGAGTTAAGCTTCCCATCTCACACGAGATGTATTTAGGTGTGATCAGTCCATCATTACCGATACGTCTGGTAGTTGTAGCCGCGAGAGTCTGTACCTGTCCCGAGCAGCCTGCATGAAGGAAACGCCGTGATGGGCGAATTGAATGTGGAAATTGTTTGAACTCAACACGATCGAGCTTCAAATTTGACCTAACATTCGTTATATTGCTACTAGTAGATTCTCTGTCGTATACGGCTAACAGTAACGAAATAAGGGTAATAAGAAAATCTACCCCGATCCATTCTTATATATAAGAAGTAATAATAAATATATACACTCTCTAACAGTCCAAAATAGGTAAAATGATTTCCAGGTATTTGCCTGTGATCTATGTGAGACAAACCGAACTGAACATACTAGTTCTTCGATGATGAGTGGACGCGTGTGTTGTGTGGTACGTGTGTGTGTGTGTAATAAATGTATAATCCCTATTACTACTCATACAGACTAAGTAACTAGAAGTAATCTAGTATACCTTATTCATCACTTATTTGAATACGAGAAGCTATATATAGATTATTGATATATCTCTACTGTTGAGTATGCTTTTATGTTCACACTAAAAATGTCTAATAATATCATCATAATATAATGATATATAATATATATAATGTATGTGATGTATAATATATATTACGTGAATGAGGTGTATTAATATAAACTACAAAAGCGTAGTAAGTGATCATATATGAAGAAGTAGTAGCTAATTCAATATTGCACTACACCAATTAGGTATAGTAGGCATAATTATAGTACAGCTTTGACCCTTACTTATAACTAAGGTCAATAACCAACATATAAATTATATACCGTGCTTATATATCCTAATAGCCAAACTACTGCTTATCGCATAACATATAGATATGGAAATATTAGTAGTATATAACTAGGTATATATATAAACTCTTGCTTAGTTGAGATCACCACTTGACCTTAAATAGTTAAGCCCGTATATCACGTTATATATTAGTCACTGGATAACACAATGTGTTATAACAACATAATACCTATATAACTATTAGGAGTGTGAACATGTGTTATTGTCTGTGATAGTGTAATGTAGCTGTGTGATGTGTCGTGTGTTGTGTGTGTTAGTGGTGTGT